CTCAAAACACAGATTGCCAGGCCCCACTCCCAGTTTCTGACTTAGTAGGTGAGGCCAGAGAGTTTGCATTTCTAACAAGTTCCAGATGATGCGAATGCTGTTGGACCACACTTTAAGAACCGCTACTCTAGAGGGTAACTCGGACCTATCCCAGCGTCCTGGGGAAACGAAATCTGCAGCGGGAAATGGAACGTCCAAGGCAATCTTCAGCTGACCTTTTAAAAACAAGTCCGGAGACGGGAGGGTAGAGCTGCTCAGCTCCAGCCAACTCACTGCCGCGTAGGAACGGAGGTCATCGGAAATCAAGATTTCCGTTTGAATTTTCCCAACGTTTAAGCTTTGGCAAGTGTGTTGAAAAACACACACAACATGAAAGCCTAACAAAAATATAGGTTTGCTGACCGTGCCCTAGTCTTTTCCCAGGATGTTCTTTTCTGTCATCCATCGTCTACCCAGATTGAGCACAACAGCCGGGCCAGTCCCGCCCTCGGCGGTTGGGGCCTTCCCAGAGAGGTCCCGTGCGGAGAGCCCCCCCCCCTCCCTGGATGTGTCTGGGGCCTGTCCTTCACTGCGATATGTCTTCCTTGTCACGGACACTGAGGCGCTCAGTTCGAAAAGCACCATGAATTCGAAGCAGCCCTGGACGCAGTATCATGGGCGTTGGCCGGCTCTCTCCGACTAGGCAAACTGCAGCAGATCCCCTTCCCTGGAGTCACCGGAAGACGAAAACACACTGTCTGCCCGCGCGCCCCGGGAGCCCGCTCCTACCCACCTCGGCGTGCGGCGCGGGCCTGGAGACCGCGGAGCCCGAGCGGTATCCAGCGCCCCTCCGCTCGCTCCTGCCCCGGGACCATCCTCACGCTCCAGGGTCGCGGAGGCATCTCGCGACTAGCGAGGGGCTGACGGTGGCCTGGGTGGCCTTGCGCCGGCTCTGGGATCCACCGCTGCGGCAGCCGAGAGCCTCACCTGGGAGATCCAAACCCGGGCTGGAACTGGGCTCAAGGAAATTTCTGTCCCCAGGCTAGACCACCCGGGCCACGGCCACGCAACTTGCCCTGCGACCCCGTGCTCGGCGTTCCCACAGAGCTCCCCTTCCCTGTAACTCAGTGCCTCGCAGGCTGGTGGCCGGCAGAGTGCCTGAGGCTGCCTGGCCTGGCCCGACTCGGGGTGGCGGGGTTCCTGGAGTGAGGAGCGACCCTCAGCTCCTGCAGACGCGGGAACGCCCCCGCGCGATCCGTGGGAGTGGGGCAGCCTGTCTGCACGCGGTCCCCTGGGAAACCCCTCTGCATCTCCCGCCGGGACAAGGTCCCCGGCCTTGGAATCTGGGGCACGGGACCGCCTGCGAACTCCCTGCGCTGGTGTCAGAACTGGTGTCTTTCCCCTCCTCTGGGGAAGTCAGGGCAGCCCGGAGTGGCGTCGTGGGTCCGAAAAATCCGTCTCAGAAACCCACCAGGAGAAAAGTCTCTGGGGGTGGGGGGCACCTTGTGGGGCTTCCACAAAGGACCCGACGGTGGGTGTGGAGAAGCCTTTTAATCCCGATAATAGGCCCAGGCCCTCTCCACAGGACCCCTGCCGCATACACGACTCTTTCTCTGCAGCAAGGGAGCTCGAGCCCAGGTACAGGGAGCCGCGGGGCGGGCGGGCCAGCTGGTGGCCAAGCCCTGAAGCAGAGGAGCCGGCCACTGGGGTGGCCGCCCCCTCAGCCCGCGCCACGCAGAGCTCGGCCAGTGCCTCCAGGGGGCGCTGCGGCCCTTCCCGCCGCCTGCTGACTACAGCCCGCGGCTGCGCTTTCCCACCTCAGCCCTGCAGAGAGCGCGGGCGCTGACGCGCTGTTTTAAATATAAAATTCTTAGCTTTTTGCCCCTGTCTCCGCACCCTCAACTCGGCCTAGTACACGCAATCCTCTTCTGGGTTCCCCAGGCGTCCTTGCTACTCCGGGGCCAGGGTGCACGCACCCCGAGCAGAGCCGAGCTCCCTACTCCTCCAGGCTATGGCGAAAAACGGCCAATAGTGCGGGAAGTTCAAATGCAAAAGGTCCCCGCCTCGCAGAGGCAGTGGAAGGCTGAGGAGAAGGGAGGCGAGTCCCCGGGGGTAGTGGCTGGGATCCTTGGAAAAAGATAAGGTTTCCATATTGTATTCTTGAAAGATTAAAAGTTTCTAGGATCCGAGTCCGAGTGGCAGAGGCGCGCGGTTCGAGTGGGAGAGCCTGAGAGTCAACTCCAGGGAAGTCTGTGTCTGACACCTGCTCGCTGCTTAGCTGGCAGAGCCTCCTGGGTGGGCCAGGGGCAGGGGCCTGGGCTGCGCGCCCCCTCCTCCTCCACCTCCTCCGCGTTTCCTCTCCCTGGCCTTCATCCCGGTCTCCCGGGGCGTAAACTTGCAGCGGTTGGGGTTCAGACAACCGCTGCTCGCGCCCCTCGTCAGTTAGCCATTTCCCTGAGAGAGTCCTTGGTGTCGAAAGCCCAGAGCCGCGAGGACAGCAGACTACCGGGTCAGCGGAAATTTCAGAGCGAGCCAGCAGCTCAGGTCCCCGGGGCCGCGGCGGGAATGGAACTGCTCGGCGGAGACAGCCCCCGGGGCGCAGCTGGGCCACTGCAGACTCCGGGACTTCCCTCTCCGCACACCCGAAACCCACAACTCGCCCGTGGGCCAGGTGGCCTTTCTGCGCCGGGGGCTGCTGGGGGCGGGCGGAGAGCCTGGCCGGTGACCTGCTCTTGGGTGGGCTCCGCAATGCCTGCGCCCTAGACGCTGGCCGGGATGAGGGGCTGGCTGGGTCTGAGCCTGGAGAAACGCAAGGGTCAGCCCGCGGTGGGCGCAGAGGTGGCCCAGGAAGGCCCGTGGACAGTGCTGCGCTGCGCTCAGCCTCCGGGCCGCTCCCCGCGTCCGGCGCGCACCTGCCCATCGAGGCTGCAGGGCCAGCAGGCAGCCTAGGCGCGGCCGGGCCACGCGGCATCCCCCAAAGCTGGAGTTCGCCGACTCTTCCCTACCTTTCCAAGCGACCGCAGTCGTGCCCAGAACGCCGGCGTGGCCCAGACTCCATTTTGGAACTTCGCAGGCTGGAGTGGACGAAGTAAACACATTTATGGAAAAACCCCGGGGTTAGGAGGTTTGCGGAAAGAGGGAGCAGCTCGTGGGTGGTTGGAAATTCTGCCTACCCCTCCGGAAAACCAAACGGTTCCGCACCCAACGTACACATACTTAAGGGCGGGAAAGGTGTGAAGCCCGCTGCTGGGGAGTTGCCTCCCCTTTGATGAAAAGGAAGTGTGAAGCTTAGGAACGCTCTTCAGGTCACCACCCCGTGAGTGGGAGACTTGGGGAGTCTGAAAGAAGAGAAAGCTCCCTCCAAATCTCCCAAATTGAGAAAAGATGCGGGAGGAATGAGGCAGTTGGAGAGAGAGGACCACAGGCGCCCCGCAGCTGAGGCTCAGGACTGAGCTCTAAAATGAAAGCACCCCTATGGGACCCACTAGGGAAAATGTGAAAAAAAAAAATCTGAATGCTTAGGCATTCTGCTGCTTCTATTCTGTGTGTCAAATCTACTTTGAAGCAGTTAAGTACTGCAGGATATTAAACACTCGGATCTCCGTTTTAAGCTCACTTTTTAATCTTTGCGAACTTAAAATTGGAAAGATAGAAAAAAAGATCTGCGACCCCTGTTATGTTTTACCAAAGGAACGAAAAATTCTCTCCACCTCGGCATAAATAAAATAGAAAGAATTTTATCTTAATAAAATAATATCTGGGAGCTTCTGCCTGACTCCCCAATTACTGCTTAACCTTTTGACAGTTTTTAGCCTCTGCTTATATTTGTCTACTTCCCCACACGATTGAGTTTTTTAAATTGTCCTTTGGGGAGTCCCATCCAAAACCATCTTTCGACGGAAGACTTTTGAATTGTACAGCCTCTTGGTTGAAGATCTACCTCCTCTAAGTGCGGGCTTGCCTGGGCTAACGCAAATCCCCTCTGGCAACTCGTATGGGACGAAGGGCGTTTTTGCTTAGTGTTGATCACGCAAATCACATCTGAAAAGAAGCTGCTTAAAATGGGTGTGTATCATTCCCTTCCTGTCACTCTGTCACCCCTATTCCAGAGTGGTTGAAGTGCTTTTTGCAGTTACACTCACACAAGACCAAACCTTTAGAAGAACCTGAAAAATGTATCACTGCACTTTGAATTCGATTAACTTTCCTGGCGACTGAACAATGGACTCAATTTTTTCTGGGAATGACGATGTAAATGTTTTGAAAAACTAGAATCGCATTTTCCTAAATTTTAAAAATGTTCTTCACCCATTCCAGATGGATTCTTTATTGTTTGCCAATGGGTTGCAGATGCCCACTCTTTTAACCAAGTTGGTTTACTGCGTAAGAAATGAACATTTGCCGATTAAAGCTTAAATATTGGAAGAAATTTCTCCTGGGGCATTCCACGCGTCTTCGCAATGATTACTAAATTAGTCAGTTGCCACCTCTGTAAACAAACTTCGTTTAGAAAACAGCAGGCGAAAGCAGACTACACATGTAGTCATAATTGACCAAAAGTATGTACAAAGCTGTTCAAAATTGGGGAAAGAGTGATTTATGCTGGAGAATACAGTCTAGAACTGATTTATTTTACTCTACGGTGAAGGTAGTTGTATTGAACGTGTTAAGATGTGCAAATGAAGCCGGCGAGCGCACCAAATAAAATTACTAAATGCCCTTTGGGATTCTCTGCAGGGTCTTTGAGAGGCAGAGAAGCAGTTGTTGAGTTTCTAATAGTATAAGGAAAAGTGGCAACGAGAAGAAAGGGGGTGGGCATTGTGTTTGTATGTGAGTTTTGAACTGAGTCACTTACGGCTGCTCGAGGGAAACCTCGAGCAAACCTGTGCCTTTAAGGCTCAGTTGCTATCCAAACACAAGTAAACAGAGTGGACCATTAGCAGACGCCGGGCGCGAAGGCGGAGCCAGGGCGCTGAGGGCCCCGCTCGGCGGCGGGACGCCCGCCCGAAGGGGAGGCGGGGCCGCTACTAAAGCCCAAGACTCCCGGCCTGGGGCGGCCTGGGGAGGGACGCGGGCGGGGACGGAGCTCGGCGTGCTTGCTGCTGGAGGGTGATGGCCCTGCAAGGCTGTGGGCTCCGACCTCAGCTGGAGTCGGCAGCGAGAGGTTCGCGGAACAGCGAGGTTCTGGGCGAGCGCTGAACGCCTGCCCCAAGCACCCCGGGTCTTTACACAGTCCGCGTCCACAGACTCTGAAGAAGACGTGGATCTGCTCTTGCTTTCGCTGCTCGCGTCCTCCAGATCATGTCCGCGACTCCTGCGACTCCGCGCGGAAAAAAAAGTTTGCCAGGCGTGGACTCAATGACCTTTCCAAACTGTGCGCCTCGCTGCCTGGACCGGGTTTGAGCGCTGCTGAGCAGGCAGACCTTTCTGCAGGAGGTGAGTGTCCGCCCTGGGAAGGGGCTGTAGCCGCCCTTTGGAAGGAAGGGTTTGGGGGTGCAAGAGGCGTTCAGATTCTCGGTCTGGTGTGCCCCAAGTTTAGATGTGAAAATAGATCATGGGGATGCAATCCCAGGGCACTGTATTTCTCACTTCCTTGGGTCCCTGGCATGCAACTCCCAGCTAACACCCAGCCACACACACTTCTACGTATGGTTTCTTAGTTTTGTTTTGGGATATTTAATCTAAGCGGTCGGCAAGACTTCTTATAAAAGCCGATCGACGTACACTGAGATCAAACCCCACAACCCCATGGTGTTTCTGCCCCTGTCCTAGCAAGCCCTGGTCGACTTGTCCCGGGGCAGCCGCGGCAGCGCAGCGTGGACGGGCCCGGACACCCGGTGCCTGCCCAGCCAGCGACGCTGAAGGCGCATTTCAAGAGGGAAATAGTTCAGTTCTCGGTAATTTGTCAACCTTGTGCTGGCTTTTAAATTTTCCTCCCACCTTCCAGTCCTGACTGAGGGGGGGCCAAAAGCAAACTCCCCGGGGGCTTAAACGCTCGGATTCCCGAGAAATGGCAAGTGAGAAAGGAGTTGCAGTTGTACAAAGAAGGAGCGAGGAAAAGGTGTTTGTGGAGGGAGCCCCGATCTGTCTTCCTACCTGTTAGCAGAGAACAAAAGGGGGCTGGCGTTTCCCAAAGCGAAAGGGCGCAGACAGCCACTTTCTCTGCTAAACAAACTGCAGTCCTGAGCAGAACAAGAAAATTACTCACGCAGGGGGAGCAAGGGGAGCAGAGAGAAACAGAACCCAGATTATGCGGAAGGCATCTTAATTTAATTAACTCCTTGGGAAGGCAGAGGCGCTCTGAAAGGACAGGAAATTCGCAGCCGTTTCTTTATTCACCTGATACAGTCTGGCCCTCACAATCTGTCCTTAAACAATTTTTTTCTTTTTAATGATCTTTGATCTACTTAGTCTATAGCTCTCTAATTTATATAAAATTCCACTGCGGTTTGGGCTGAATTTCAGTGAGCCTATCTATCTAACCATCAGTCATTTCTCTCAGATACCAATGCACAGGTTTTAGCAGATGAACCCTGACTGTATATTATTTTTAGATAATTCAGTGTAATAATACCATTACCAAAGAGCAAAACTCCCTATCAAGTTACTTCTTAACTTTTTTCTCCAATGTTTTGAAAGCTTCACTGAACTAAGTGTGTACACATCTCCCTTGTTGACAGCCAGTCAACTAAATTTTACAAAATTTCTCCACATGCCTGGAAATTCCTGTGAAGAAGACTGATGAAAGAAAAATAGCCTCAGTTCCACCAACATATTTATGCCTTTTCATTGGTTTAAGTTTATTTCCTTGCAAAATTAAAAGTAACCGGTGGTCTGAAACAGGATGGTGGAGAAATGACAGCAGAAGAAGATCGCTGTTATTTCCTGAAAGGGAGTGTGGGAACTACAAGGCTCAGCTCTAGACAAAACGAAAGTACTTTAGGATCTCTGCCTTCACTTAAAATACTTCTTTTGACATACATTTCCAGCAACTCAATGGGAGTGTGGAAATTTAACCTTCCTAATTATTTGTGGCAAGAGCCATTGGTGGATATTTAAGGTAGTTCTGTTTCTAAAAGGGTTTCAAAAGGACCAGTGGTTTGCTCTTCCCCTATGAAGAAACTATATGCTCTGCAAATTAAAACAAACAGGTACTATGAAATAGCACTTTTTTTTTTTTTTTTGCTAACATGAACCTGAAATATACTAGTCGTTAATTTCTGTGTTATAAACCATTCAGAGAAAAGGGAAAGAAGATGGCACTCAACTTTGTGGCAGTGTAACCTTTATGGCGGAGTTTGCTGCGCCTTTGGAGTAGAAATCACAGGTCACAACAGTACTTTAGCTGACACCACTCCCCCCCAACACCCGCTCCCTCCCTCAACACATACACCCTGTGGTGGGAGTTGTGCTTTGCCTCCTGTATTTATTTCTAAGAAATCTAGTCTGGGAATACACCCAAATAATAATTTCGGTTTCCTCTCTACGGGAAAGAGGTTGCTTTTCAACACGAAGGGAAAAATAATATTTTGAATCTCTGGAAAATCCTCATTATACAAAGGGAAATAAGGGTGTAATTTATTATTTTTAATTGAAAGGGAAATAATCAGATAGATTACCAGGAATGTTAGTAGAATCCTTTTTTCCTGCCTCCCTAAGAGAGTTGCCGCTGAGCAAAAATAATCGTGATTTGTGGTGGGAAAGTTGATTACTAATGGGGGTTTGCAGTTGCGGTTGAATGGTCTGACTGAGACCCTCTGACTGTTACACATCTCTCATTAACTCCTAGCCTGAACTCCCAGACCGCATACCACCAAGCAGAAGGGATTCGTTAATAAATCTCTGTCCCGGAGCCCTTCCAAACAGAAGAAGGTGTGGGCCCCGCAGAGGCAGCCAGATCCTGCCTTGCCAGAACGCACTGTCATTAGCGTAACCCCCTAAGTCTGCTCACAGATGGAACCACAGGCAGTACTTCACAACACGCTGGAGAGGACAACTTAGGTGCAGGAAGGGGTTGGGTGGGAAGGGAAGGCTGGAATCTCTCCTGCCTTCCCACTGGGTTCAAATGCCAGGCTTGGCGGTTGGTGGCACAGACTGGTGCTTAGCTCTGACTCCTACACCTGGGGGGCTGGCAGAGGGAAGGCCCTGGTCCCCCGAGCTGGCAGAACTCCTTTCTAAAAAGGGGCTGGCCGTGGGAGAATGTGGGAGAATGTGGGAGAATGTAGGTGAGGTGCTCCCGGGAACCTGGATCTGAAATCAGACCTGTGTTGCCATTGGGAGCACGAGGAGAGGGGAAGTGCCCTGCTTAGGCCCAGGCCGGGCGTCCTGGTGGCGGGAGCACAGCCACACTCACCTCTAGGCCAACGGACAAGGTTCCTGCAGGCCAGCAGGGCCACCCTGTGCTTGGCCTACTGCGGCTCCGCTGCAGCTCCTTTCCTCTCCCTCCCCGGAGCGCTCTCCTCTCTCCTCTCCCCTGTCTTCTCTCTCCTCTCTGGTCTCCTGGGGCCTACCTGGTGGAGGGATGCAGGGGTCGCTTCTCGGTGCCAGACTGGGAAGCAGCTCAGGCCTCCCGAGAGCTTGGCACTCAGTCTGGGAAAAGGGGTTCCTCCAGCCTCAGGGATGTTCTCTGCCCCCATCCCACCCCCTGGGAGCCTGAACCATCTGGAAGGGATCTTAGTGGAGGGTTGGGAGGAGAGCCCCTGGAGGAGGAGGGGGCGATTCTAGGCCGAATCCAGCCCCTGAGGTGTCACTTTTCTTTCCTGCGGCCCGTCACCGCTGATAAATGGGACTGAGGGCAGAGAAGGAAAAAGAAAACCTCCGAGGTCAGTGCGGGGCGAGGCGAGCCCTTCCCAGGGCCCTCTGGCCCAGAAGGATGAAGCGCACCGGCTTTGCTCTTGCACGCCGGCTTGCGGTCCGGGTAAGCGCGGGAAAGGCGGCCGCAGGGCGCGGCAGCAGCGCAGCGCGTGGGATCCCACCACCCATACGTTAACCCACCGTTCCCGGGAGCTCCGAGGCGCAGCGGCGACAGAGGCTCGCCCCGGCCTGCCGGCATTGGCGTTGTGGTTGACTGAGCTTCACCTGACGGGCTTGGGGAAGGTGGGCTGGGTTGGGCTGGGTGCTGCCCCGCTGTCCGCCTTTCGTTTTCCCGGGACCGATCTGTATCTGTCCAGAGTCTGAATCCGACCTTCCTTCCTTTGGGCGCCCGCTTTCCAGTGGAACATTTCTTGCTCTGGCCCAGGGCTGATCTGCATGCGGACTTGAGCAGGTGCCACGAGGTCCCCTCACGGCTTCTTTCGGGGGTCTTGGAGTCCGGTGGGGAGGGAGACTTGGGTGAGTGTGGTAACCTGTGTGGGTGCCAGAAGGCAGAAGGAGCAACCTTGGATTATAGTCATGGTCTCTCCCTCTCTTCCCTGCCATTTTTAGGGCTTTCTCTACGTGCTGTTGTCTCACTGAGTTTTTGTCGGAGCCCCACGCACTCCTGCCTCTGATTCCTGGAAGAAAGGGGTGGTCCCCTCAGCCCCCCAGCATCCCGGAAAATGGGGAGCAAGGCCCTGCCAGCGCCCATCCCGCTCCACCCGTCGCTGCAGCTCACCAATTACTCCTTCCTGCAGGCCGTGAATACTTTCCCGGCCACAGTGGACCACCTGCAGGGCCTGTACGGTCTCAGCGCGGTACAGACCATGCACATGAACCACTGGACGCTGGGGTATCCCAATGTGCACGAGATCACCCGCTCCACCATCACGGAGATGGCGGCAGCGCAGGGCCTCGTGGACGCGCGCTTCCCCTTCCCGGCCCTGCCTTTTACCACCCACCTATTCCACCCCAAGCAGGGGGCCATTGCCCATGTCCTCCCAGCCCTGCACAAAGACCGGCCCCGTTTTGACTTTGCCAATTTGGCGGTGGCTGCCACGCAAGAAGATCCACCTAAGATGGGAGACCTAACCAAGCTGAGTCCGGGGCTGGGTAGCCCCATCTCGGGCCTCAGTAAATTGACTCCGGACAGAAAGCCCTCTCGAGGAAGGTTGCCATCCAAAACGAAAAAAGAGTTTATCTGCAAGTTTTGCGGCAGACACTTTACCAAATCCTACAATTTGCTCATCCATGAGAGGACCCACACGGACGAGAGGCCGTACACGTGTGACATCTGCCACAAGGCCTTCCGGAGGCAAGATCACCTACGGGATCACAGGTGAGGCGGGCAAGGAGGATGGCCGGGAGAGGGAAAGCGAATTTGTTCTGGACACACTGAGTCCTGTTAGACATCCCAAGTGTCTTTATAATCCCCTGTGATCTAAAATACACCCTCAATCACGCTCCCCAGCCCGGTTCAGCTAACTCCCAACATCTACTCTTTCTTCCCCCCCAGCGGCTCCTGCTATGTTCTTGTTTGGGATGAGGGAGGGCCTTTCCTCAGCCTTGGACAGGAACAATTCATTGGCCTTAGTCCTGGGATGGTTATCCTGTCTCTTCCCGGTGCGGTGAGGAGTGGTGCAGGAAGAACCGAGGGACCCTGGGGTGCCGGTCCTGCCTGCAATCGGGCTACTTCTGTTGGATTTCGCCCCTCGCCCCCCACCTAGGTGCACCCCAGAGCCTGCCATGGGGACCTTTCTTTTAAGCTGTATTTGTGTGTGTGTGTGTGTGGGGGGGGGGTCTTGCGGTCACCGAATTTACAAACAACTCCCACCTGCCTTCCACGACCTTAAACTCTGCATTAATACAAGGCAATTGAAGACATACAATAATGTAAGTGTTATCCTTGGGTAAAAACTTCTCAGGAGTTGGGGAGACCTTTTTAGGGGTATCTTTTCTGGACTCTACCTGCTGTTCCCCAGAGATGAGACTTCTGTACCCATCCTCCGAGGCCGTTAAGGGATTCACTAAAATTAGCACCTCTAAACTCGGCTTTGCCTTACATCCTGATTTGGCCAATTTAAATCCCAGAGAAAACCATGGAGGCCAAGAAAGGCCCGTTCAGCGGGGTTTTGAGCTCCAGAAAACACCAGAGAGGGCGATCAAGTGTAGATAAAACCCGCAGGCCAGTGAACATTTTGAAGAGAAGCTGTTTGTTGAGATTAACCATAAACAGAATTACACAGGAAAAAAAAAAAATCTAAAAACATAAATGGAAATCTTGTTTCTTTTGTTCTTCCGTGACTTCCTTTTAAGTAATTGCTAAAAGTAACTCTTCATCATGGGGCAAAGTTATTTCAATGAAACCTTATATTAATTTTCAGGTATATCCATTCCAAAGAAAAACCCTTCAAATGTCAGGAGTGTGGGAAAGGATTTTGTCAGTCTAGAACTCTAGCAGTTCACAAAACTTTACACATGCAGGTAAGTTTGTTTTCTTGTTTAAAAACAGTGGCTGGTTCATTTTATCATTACTGCTTTGCAAAAGGTGTTCAATGGCAGACTCTCGTAAAAGGCTCTGTTTAGATTAGTTCTCTAGGTGGGGAAAAGCAACACTCTTGATTTTTTTTAATATATAAAATTAATCTTATTTAACATAAAGCATTTTTATATTTTTCTTAAAAAACAGGCCACTTTGATTATCATAAACCCTAATTTTAGAATTTTTTTCATCCAATCTGCCCTGCATTTAAAGCTTTCGTGTTTAGGAGGAAATAAAGGTAATTTTGATAATGGAGGCATAGTGAAATCCCATACGTTCTCTTTCCCAGGGGCCTCATAATTTGTACCTTTCAGGACATTGAGGAATAGTTTAGTTTTCCAGCAAAGAGGAGCCTTATTACCCAGGAGAATGTTGTTTCTTAAGAGAGGATTAGAGTTTTTCCTTCCTCCTTTTCCTGCCTATGACATGGTGATGAAATGTGAAGAGCTGGAAATCACAAAGCCCACCGAGGTGGCCGCGGGTCTACCTCCGAAGTTATCAGTGTAATCGGGCCTCTGTGTATGCCTGCACGTGTGTTTTCATGATTGGAGGATTAGGAGCACAGATTTGTTCCTGCAAGTCCCCTCTTTTGTTGTCATGCGAGTGTTATGTTAACGCTTGTGATACCGATAAGACAGAAACTATTGAAAAGGGTGCAGTGGTGGTGTGAAGGATTAATCCTTTGCTTGCTTCACATCTGAACAGGAATCTCCACACAAATGTCCCACATGTGGAAGAACCTTTAATCAGAGAAGTAATCTGAAAACTCACCTTCTCACCCATACAGACATCAAGCCCTACAGCTGCGAGCAGTGCGGCAAAGTGTTCAGGCGAAACTGTGATCTGCGGCGGCACAGCCTGACTCACACCCCGCGGCAGGACTTCTAGAGAAGCCCAGGATCTGTCCCGTGCCGCCGCTGCTCCCCTCCCCCGACACCTCTCCACGTCTCCTTCCCGGGGGGTTGCACCCCTAGCCATTCACTGACCCCAGCTCTTCCCTTGCTGCAACCGCACCTGCAGCTCCAGGGAGTTAACTCTTCTTCTGGGGGACTGAGAACTGTAGAAAGCCACACACTACATCCCTTCACAAAGAGTATATGCTAGTTTTTTGTAGATATTCACAGCTCATTTTAGAGCTCTGTACATAATGTTGTGGGTCTTTGTTTTGTTGTTTTGTTTGTTTTTGGATCTTGTTGGATGCGCCTAGATATGGAAAATGGAAGCCAAATTTTATCTTTAAAGACTGTATTTTCAAAATAAAACTTTTTCTTGTTTGTTTCAACACTCCTGCAAAGGTGTCTTGCTATTTAAATTCTGTTTTTCCTCTAGATTCTGGAAGAGTGAGCCTTCTCTATACAATTCAATACTGAAGGGCATTCTTTATCCCTAAGTTTAAAAAAATAGGATTTCTCAGAATTCTCAATCTGCAACTTCAGCCTTTCCCTTTTTATACGGTGGCATTTTGGAATTAGACAATTGGGCTGTTTCTTTGTTTTGCAAAGATATTAAAACATTGATGCCCCTGAGGTTTTATCCCCTTTTGTTTATTTCAATTAGTTGTGTATTATTCCCTCAGATAAATGTAATATCTTAATATAACATGCAACTTCCATGGTTGTCCCACTTGAAAGCACAGGATGGGAAGAAGCAGGAAGCATAGAAGAGGTGGGAGCTTCTTACCACTTCATTTTTGAAAAGTCCTTGGCCTATTGTCACAATTTATGATGGGCAACTTCTCTTACCATTAGACTTTGAACACTATGATTTATCACTATAGACAGAAACTTTATCCTGCCTTCAGGAGGGAAGTCTAAAATCCTACAGAAGAGTACAGGAAGATACAATCTTCAAGAAGACGGGAGAGAAGAGGAGAAAGGAGAAACCAGTTAGCTATGTTCACAAAATATTTCTTTCCAAGGGTGGGGATCCTTTCTTCTAGAAGGTTAGGATTTTTCTGCAAAGCAAACTGAGTTAGGCTACCAGTGAGGTTTCCACCACTGGTTGGTCTTTGTCCCTGGGAAAATGCCAGAAGTGCAGGTTACTCCACGTACAGAGCTCATGACAAACATGTAGTCACCTTCTGAGGCATTTCAACCTTTCCTAAATGGTTCCTGGGGAACATGACTCTAGTATAGTGACAACCCTGAAGTATAGTGTAGGATTTGGGTGGAGGGCTTTGGAAGGAGATAAAGAGTAGTACTATGCAGAGACTGGAAGGAAAGTGATTTAACTTAAAGGGGGAATGACAGAGGAACCTGTGGCCCAGTAGGCTCTCACAAACTGTTTAATATGGAACAACAGGTTAAACAAGGCATTATCAGATGTTTAAAAAATTTGTATATTTGTGTGGGGATGGCATGTTTCACTTTCAGGGTGATTCCAAGCAACATGCCCTATGTTTTTACCTTAGAATCTTCCAGAAAAGTAGATAGAGACTTGAAGACTAGACTCAAAATTTCTCAACAGTACCTTGTTCAATACAACCTACTAAGAGGTTTCAAAAAGTGTTCCTGACTAATTCCTTCCTCTGTTTTCAGGGGAGCAGGCTAGAAGTCATATTTATCTCTCACTAAAAATTAATTCTCTCCAACAAAGTGTCCAGTCACCAGCCTGTGTGCCTAATGCTCACACAAATGCATTCCCCAGCATGGGATGAGCCCAAAGTCTTCCTGAGGAGTAGGGGCAGGGATGGAGTATGGAGTGCATGTGCCTGTGTTATTTAGAGGAATGAAACAGCTGTTTGCTTTCTTTTGTTTGTACAGAATTAACTCAGTGACCTCCCTGCCCTCTCCTCTCTCAAGATCCTGCCCACGTTGGTACAGAAGATTTGAATACTTTAGGGCAGAGTTAACATTGACTGTCCCTAAAGCCCCCCTAATCCTGCAGGCTTTTTCTACATAGTCAATCTCACAGCCCCACCCACCCCTACTGACTACAAGTGTCACAGTTCCATTGCACAGGGTTCAGTCCAATTATCAAAGAATGACCCTTGTTCGCTATCAAGCTACAGGCATATCCTTGAAGTCCCTATTACAGGAATATATAGATAGGTATAACCAGAAAACTGTTCCTCTCCATTTATTTTATTTGAAGAAATGAGAATCAGAAGGGAAAGAGGAAGAAGAGAGGAGAAAGTGGAGAAAGCAGTTCCCCATCTGATACACAAACTACTTTAAAAGTTAAGGTTAATTTATTCATAATTAATTTATTTACTCATTAATTTAATAAATGCTTATTTTATGCTTTTCATGTGCCAAGCCCTGTGCTAAATTCCACTGATTTTCTTGATCAGTTTCTGCCTTTCTATATCCAGTGACACATTTTTGGAATCTTGGCTACTTAGGTAATTTAAAAACCTACGATAGGGCTAATTTAACACCCTCAATCTAGACACTTAAATTCAGCATTCGTCTAGGCTCAGAAAGGATCTAGCTTCTGTCAGGGTAGACTTTTTCTACATACGCTTCATGATCTTAGGTGAACTTTTAATTTTAATTTTTATTTTTAAGACAAAGTCTCACTCATTGCCCAGGCTGGAGTGCAGTGGCACAATCTTGGCTCACTGCAACCTCCACCTACTGGGTTCTAAATTATTCTCTTGCCTCAGCCTCCCAAGTAGCTGGGATTACAGGCACCCACCACCATGCCTGGCTAATTTTTGTATTTTTCGTAGAGACAGGGTTTTACCATGTTGGCCAGGCTGGTCTCGAATGCCTAATCTCAAGTGATCCGCCTGCCTTGGCCTCCCAAAGTGCTGAGATTCCAGGGGTGAGCCACCACGCCCAGCCAGGTGAACTTTTAAACAGTGAGATCCTCTCCAAATTCTGGGTTTTGTTTTCTTCTTCTTTAGACTGTCCAAGTATACAGGAAATGAACAAATTTATGAGACATCATAGGGAAAATATCTTGTATCTTAGGAAATTGATCTGCTAGTTTTTTTGGTTCAGAGAAGAGTCATTATTTGAGTTTTAGATTAGCCTGTGTTTTCCTTACACCCTCTACCACAGTCAACTCGTGAATCAATGCTCCTGGCAAGAGACCAGCCAGGAGGTGGAAATATCACGAGTCATAACCACAGCGCTGAAGAACTTCATGCACAAGTTAGGTATTTACTCTCTAGCTGTGACTGTAATCTCATTTTGCAGTCTATGCAGTAAGGTTTTTAAAATAATTTCTAAAAATGAATTACATTGTAATCAATTGTTAATATAAAATTATGAATGTGTGTTAGGTGTTCTTACTGATACTAACCTTGAAATGTAGGTCATTGTGGTACTAGTGCTTTATAATTGTGGAAATTACAATTGCTATTTTGCACAGGCACACCCTTTTTTTACATGAGGAAGCATTTTTAAAATCTGACTATAGAATAACAAAATATTTAAAAAGTCAACAAATCTAAAATCTCAAATTATAAATAGGCTCAACTACCACTAGTGATAAAATCAGAGGTGGTTACTGGGAATTTTGTCTGTTCATCTGTGATGTTAGCACATGCATTTGGTCCTCTTCACTTAAATAATGTTCAGTCAGATACTTTTACCCCAACTTTGAGTTCTTGAAGATTGTCAACATGACAAAATAGATGCATTTGCACTAAACACTGTGTAGAATCAACAGCAAATTTTAATACAAGAAAAATATTAGCATAATGGGTTGCCTTTCTTATTACTAAAGTAATTTTAATATTATTATAATAAGGAAAGATTTAAACAATTGATGAAACCATATAACACATTGCAAACAGGAATGACTTTTGTATTTTAGGGGTTTATTTGTGTTTGCCTTTATTAGTGTGTTATATGGAGACTATATTTCTCAATTTTTTCTTCTATAATGTAACTTGTCATGATAACCACCTCTGCTGACAGCAATGAGCAATAAAGGGCGTGGAGATTCAGAATGATTCAGCTTTGATGACCTGAGATATTTCAAGTTCATTCCGGTTTCTCTTTTTTTATTGCTTGTTTTTTTTCCCCGAACACAAGCTACCTTATTATCTATGCTATGTAACTTTTTTTTCTTGAAACTATCCCAGGCAAAAACTGATAGTGAAAAACTGTAAGTAACCTTATAGCCCACAAGAGGAAAATTGTTAAGTAAATTATCATGCTATCTCCATTAGGATGTTTTCTACTGCACAGAACAGAAAACTCACCTAAAAAGGGCTTAAGTAATAGGAGATATATTTTCTCACATAACAAGAAGTCTCAAAGTAGGGTCCAGGGATGTGTAATTAATTGGAGTGTCATGATCAACTAGGATCAATTCTTCCTATTTCTCTGTTCTTCCATCTTTAATGTGTATGCTGGACTTCCTTTATGGCCACAAAATGGCTGCCACAGCACCAAGCACTAGCTCCACTGCTCCCTCCTGACACACATTCCTTAGGCAGAAAAAGGGATTATCTCTTCCTTGGATCACTTTTAAGGAACTAAGAATCTCTTTCACAAATCTAACCTATAGATTTGCCCATATATCTTTTTGGTCAGAAGTATGTCACTTGCTCTTTCCTCAGCCAATCACTGATAAGGGGAATAGAATTGTACCATGATTGGCTTAAACTAAATAAAAAATCACTTTTTGTGAGTGGAAATGGAGTCAGCCTTTAAGCCTGAAGCCCTTGACCGCCTGAACAAACCTGAGTTCTGTTAGCAGGAAAGAAAAGAGAACTGGCTATTGTTAATATTAGGCAGATGTTTAAAATGAAGTTTCCATTAAACACCTTGTGTTAGGAGATGTTGGTATTAGACAGTATTATTCAAATATATAAAAAGGCATAGACACTATTATCTCAACTATATAAGACAAGCAAAACCTTTCAAAAACTAAGCAGAAACAAAGAGTAGCAGAAAATATACCAAAATGTTAACAGCAGCTTCATGAGTGGCAAACTAAGGGTACATTTTTCTTCTCCTTTTTAAATTTTTCAACTCTTCCACAATGAGCACACATTACTTTTATAAAGGAAAAGGGTAATAATCTTTATTTTTAAAATCTAAAATAAAGCCTTAATTTGCTCATCTTTATAATTTTTCATCTTGATTTACTACCTCTGACCAATCTTTGCTTGTCTCCTTTCACACACACTCATATGCCACTTCTAAACCATTCTTCTAATTTAGTTACATCTTTACTTTCTAGTTTATCTCTCTTTATTGATTTCCATTCAGAGCTCCTTTTCCTATCTTTTCTCTAGGTTTCTTCATCCTGGTTCCATATTTTCACCCTTTTTAGAGCTTCGACAATTCTAGCCCAGGGTTCCTCATGTGTGAACATTAGAA